CCATGGTGAACCGTTCTCTGCAAATAGAAACATCTGCAACAAAAGGATACAAAAGATCTGCACTGACTGCACTCTGCATCTGATCTGCAGTGAAGAGCGCATCGCACTTTTGTTCGTAAGTTTATGAATTTTTTGAGCCGCTTCATCCGCCACCAGGTGATGGACAACCCTGACCAGCCTCCCGAAGGCGTAACAGACGTCCCTCCTTCTCCTTCCAACGATGAAGAACCTCCCTCACCATGCCACCTCCTCTTCAGCGGTCTGGCCACCACCACGTGCTGAGCACGTGTGCTGTTCACGTACTTGCTGCTTCACCCGCATGCCACATTCGGCCAGGCAACGCTGGCCGCAGGTGCTGCTAGTCTATCTATAAACACAATCAATGTGGGCATCATTGTGGCTTTGTCAGACGTATTCGTCAAGTACGGAAGAAGTATCTCACCCCACATTCCCTTTCCTGCAATGTCCAAGTCTACCTGAACTTGGCAGGCGTCATACCGTCGTCAGTCTGGTCTCATACCGCCTGCCACCTAGCAAGTCCTACTACCACTACGAACCACTGCAAGGATCAGTGTTTTGTCCAAAGTGAGAGTTGTTAGTATTGGTACGTACTCTTTACATGCACATTGTATTCTTTATGTGGTTGGTATTTACTAGCTCTTGCAATGCTGCTGCTGTTGCTGCGTCTATACTATACTCGCGGCCGAGGAAGATACACGGTTCATCACAATACAGATGTTAATGTAAGCAATACTACCTGATGTAGGCGACAAACCGGCCAAGCACTAAAAGTAAAAGTCTAAAACGGACCAGCATGTAGCCTTCAAGTAAGTTCTGTAGCGTGTACATGACTTGTGTCATACATGTATACATTGTATGTGTGTTAGGCATTGGAGTCCACCCTGCAGCCTGGCTTGAGTTCAGGCCCTGATGTCATGTAACTAACTAGTTATTCTGGGCAATGCGGCGAATGCGCCCTGTTACCAGGTTACTGTTACTCACTAGACATAAGGAGGTGAGTTTTCATGTTTTCATGTTGACAAGTACTATTTTGGGGACAGTAGTAATCCATCGGCCCCCACTCCAGACATTGGATCAGACTACTGTAGACTCATGTACTGCTGTAACGTAACAGAGAATTATTTTGCCTGGATGCTTATTCCGAAAACCTGTTTGTTTCCGAAAGCTTTTCTCAAGCTGGCTTCGGTAGTCGGTACCCTGGGCTGGACGAGACTCAACCATGATGACAGGAACAGTGAATAGGACGTGTACATGTACATGTAGTACGGAGATTGAGGACTTACCGGTACATGTTGTACACTTAGTACTTGTACAATGTACATGTACATGACTTGTACAGTCATGTACATGTACATGTATTGTACATGACTGTACTTTTCAATGTTTTCATGATTATTAGTCATGACAGGAAAACTTCGGCAGAAAGGAAGGCAATCTGCGAATTCGGCTCCGTTTACAATGTACCAGACTGTCCAGGAACAGTCAACTCGTGCCCAAGTCGACTCAAAATTGGTAGTGCGACTCGCTACAATGTAGGTTAGAGTCATTGCAGTTGATGTGGCTGGCGCATTCGACCGCGTCTCTCATGTAGGCGTTTTGCACAAGGCACAATGCTATGGTATAACTGGTCCACTTCTCGCTTGACTGAGGGATTATCTGACTGAGCGTCACTTGAGGGTTGCAGTTGGAGGTGAACCTTCCAGTCCGTACCCGACCACAGCTGGCGTGCCGCAGGGCAGTATCCTTGGTCCCATCCTGTTCATCCTCTACACCAATGATGGCGAGGACCACCTCCCCACCAGGTATGGAGCTAGCAACCTACGCTGACGACACCACTCTCTTCCACTGCCTCACATCAAGAGCTGACATTGATTGTGGCTCCGAGCTCCTCCAGCAGGGCATTGATGCGTTTTCCCGTTGGGGATATAAGTGGAGGATTTGAGCCATCCAAGACGCAGGCTATGTCTATAGGCCACCATCGCCAGCCCTGGGAGCTCCCTCGAGCAACATTTGACGGCACACCGGTCAGCGAAGAGAGTCGGCTGAAACTCCTGGGAGTCACCTTTGACGACACCCTGAGCTACTCCTTCCACCTCCGCTCCCTAGCTTCCCGTGCTAACCAGCGGATTGGCTTCCTGAAGCGAGCGTCTCCCATTCTGGACGCCGAGAGCCGCCAACGCGTGTGCAACGGCTTTGTGCGACCCACACTCGAGTATTGCCCCTTAGTGTGGATGGGCTCACCCTCGTCCCATCTTAAGAAGCTGGACCAGATCCAGCGAAGGGCCCTCCACATCATCGGAGCAGGTACTTGGCTCCCTAGCCTGGCACTCCGTCGCCTGGTAGGTGCACTTGCCTATACCTACAAGCTCTGCTATCTAGATGCATCCAGCCCTCTGAAGCAGATGCTGCCCAAACCAGCCACCCACCGTGCCCCCGAGACAAGACCTACCCGTCAGTCTCTCCAGCTGCAGGATTCCCATCCATACCAGATGACAACTGGCCTGCCTGCCAACACCCGGAATAGCTGCCTCCAAGGATTCCCTGCTTGCACCGTTGCAACGTGGAATGCCCTGCCACCAGACCTGTTCCACCACCCACCCGCCCAGCCCCACATGCAAAGCTTCAAGAAAAAGGTGTACCGTCACCTTCTTGCTCAGGACTGGCTCTCTGCTACTGATGCACTTTGAATCTGCCCGCCAACGCTTTCCCTGTTCTTATTAGTGTTCAGCTACTTACCTTATAACCCTGCTGCCATCTTCACCAATATTCTGATTCTCATGCACATGTCCCAGAACCTGCTATCCTTCGCAGTCCCCATCACCAAGAGCACTGTGCTCTTCTATCTCCCAGCTCTCTCTCTCTCTCTCTCTCTCTCTCTCTCTCTCTCTCTCTCTCTCTCTCTCTCTCTCTCTCTCTCAGTCTCTCTCTCTCTCTCTCTCTCTCTCTCTCTCTCTCTCTCTCTCTTTCTCTTTCTCTTTCTCTTCTCTCTTTCTCTTTCTCTTTCTCTTTCTCTTTCTTCACTAGTTTGAGGGAAAGAGACAAACTTCTCTTTCTCTCTCTCTCTCTCTCTCTCTCTCTCTCTCTCTCTCTCTCTCTCTCTCTCTCTCTCTCTCTCTCTCTCTCTCTCTCTCTCTCTCTCTCTCTCTCTCTCTCTCTCTCTCTCTCTCTCTCTCTCTCTCTCTCTCTCTCCTCTCTCTCTCTCTCTCTCTCTCTCTCTCTCTCTCTCTCTCTCTCTCTCTCTCTCTCTCTCTCTCTCTCTCTCTCTCTCTCTCTCTCTCTCTCTCTCTCTCTCTCTCTCTCTCTCTCTCTCTCTCTCTCTCTCTCTCTCTCTCTCTCTCTCTCTCTCTCTCTCTCTCTCTCTCTCTCTCTCTCTCTCTCTCTCTCTCTCTCTCTCTCTCTCTCTCTCTCTCTCTCTCTCTCTCTCTCTCTCTCTCTCTCTCTCTCTCTCTCTCTCTGTCCTTCTTCCCTCTCCTTCTTCTCTTCTTCCCCCCCCCCCATCTCAGGATAATTATTAGCCCCCCGTTTTCTTTCGACGCGTTTGCTGTGCAGTGAAGCCGAGACCCTAGGTCGGTGGAGCACATCAGACCCCGTCACCACGTCCACGATTCATGCCTGCGATGCTGCACCGCTGCTTGCATGTCATGATTGGAAGCCGCAGTGTGGCCTTAGTAAAAAAAAGAAAAAAAAAGTGGGGGGGGGGCAAAGTGGTTAGACTACTGTATTAGTCTTCCCTGCCATGTCCTGCTTCCAAACATGAGATTGTGGGCCGGATTCCCAGTTCAAGTGTATGAAGATCATTTCCAACCCCAAGAGACCCATCTGGGGCACCTGACCATTCCGTCGGAAGGCACATGCGACGAGGTCGAGGGAGAAGAGATGAGCACCACCCTCCCTATGTCGACCTCATTTAAACAACAGGTCTTCAAAACCTCCCACCCTTAAGCCCGATTCATTCTTCATGTCGCGTACGGGAAACGCGTCGCGTCGCGAAAAAGTTGATCTGAGCTCAACTATGTCGCGTACGGGAAACCCATCGCGCGACGGTCGCGCGATGGGTTTCCCGTACGCGAGATGAAGTATGAATCGGGCTTTACGCAGTACGGTTAGAATTGAGTATGGGCTACTAGGACCTTTTTTAAGCAAGAGGAAGCTCCAGTCTTGCTGCAAGAGGGAGCTTCCTCTTGCTTTTAGTCAGGACCCTCAACTGTACATCCTTCATTGGGTACACATGAGATGATATTTCTTTGCTATCATGTGACCTGAGCCCGGAAAATCAGAGTTTGTGGGAGGGGGGGGGGGGGTGGAGTTCGGTCGCCAGCGGTTCATGTACTCTTGATAATACCAAAGAATCTGCATAGTGAAATAAAAGGGTAGCTCCGAAACATGGCAGTTTTGAAGTCACATCAGAACATAAACCATACCCCTGGCAACTGCATACCACAGCGGAAACCGAATCAAACTTCAAGAAAAATGGGAATTTTACTTTTTGGACTCAAAATCCCTATCGAGTAATCTCCAACGTAACGATTGTAGTTGAGTGTTACGGGATTATCGATTACCAAGTAATTCAGTGGCATTATCGTTTCAGCCCTAAAAATAAATGTATGGAGAAGCATGTTCAAAACTCAGCTTCAAGCTGGTTTTTACATTGTATTTCACGTGGTGAAGATCAGGCTTTCAAAAGTCAGTGGCAGTGGTACTATTTTGGATGGATGGATTGTGCCACGGGTTCACGGATTGAGTCGGCAGTTACCCGGCAGGGGACAAAGTACAATAGATATCTGGGTCAAAAATAGCGGCATGATCTTCATGATAATATATTCTTATCTCAATTCATCATCTATCAAGTCAATCACTTAGTTTTAATTTCATCCAGTGTACACAATGCCTCACATCAAGCCAAGGAAGCATATTTACACAGCAAAGAGGCATGATGCTACAGCTTCAATGTACATGGAACAATGTAGCTGCATGCTCTGTGTGCTTCTATTCAGGTATGGATGTGTGCACGGGTAGTGGCATGTTCTGTGAGTCCCCGCACCCTCTGAAATTCGTCCCACAGACTCGGGCTCTGCACCCTGACTGTGAGCAGAACAAGTCTTGGCCTTGACGTCCTGAGCCTGCACATTCTTGCTCGGCTTGATGTGCATGTACCGCAATCAAGAAGCAACATGCAGCACACAGGCCCAGCCAAAGGGGAGATGTTCACTAGTGATCACTGGCCAGAACTGAAAACGTTAACCCACAGGAATAACCATGCTGTCAGTTATAACCTAGAGACTCCCTAATGTTAGAAATATGCGTTGAGGTGGGAAACAAAAAACATTACAATAATTATTATGTAGTATGGACGAAGAAGTTAAAATCATGATGAGAGGACGACGTGAAGAAATATTGTAACAGCGTGATTGTCAAGCACAGTTTGTAGTTGGAGTGAAACTTTTAAAAGCGGCATTGGAGCAGGACGTATATAAATATCTCAAAAATGAATGAATAGCAAAAGAGAATATCCTAAAATCATGAGAAGATCGGAAGAGTTTGACGAGATTGTAAGTTAATTGGGCCGGAAGAATCGACCATAACAGCAGCAACAAAAACACCATAGTAGCGACAGATTGTTGGCTTCAAGAAAGCCAGGACACCAAGGGAAAGCAGCAGCAGAAGCACAACAAGCAGCATGAAGACAATGAGATCATAGTTATAATGAACAAAACTGAACCCGTGACACACACGCCCCAGGAAAGCGTGTTTTGCACGGGGAGACAATACCTGGACTTGAGCTTTAGTTGCACAGAAGAGTCAGCAGGCAGCAGAGGCCCTCTGCTGCAGCAACCTCTCCAGTATCTCCGGCGCCACTGCCGCTCTGCTCAAAGTGCAGCATGTCAATAAGAAACAGTGAAGCCAGAAGCGATGCCTTGACCTTGACGTCAAGGTCCATGGGGAAAGTGATGTTGAAATTGTCTGCGTCAGTGAATGCCTCCTTGACAACACCCGAAAATTTCTTCTGGACACAACCAATCTCTTCGCCAGTAAGTGTCTGCACCGCAAACTTCGGAGAACACGAGCATCCACATCCACAACATGGACTGGTTATCTTGAGGACTGGACTCAAGTCAGGTGCTTCTATGGTGTAGGTTGGCTTGCAGCAGAAGGTATTGGTTTGCACATAACCGATCACATTGCCCGGCGGTGCTTCTACTGTCACGCGACTGGAAGTACAGCCCATGCATGAGTTTGTGCAGAAGTGACGGGGCCGCTTGAATACCATCACCGTTTGGTTCGCGTTGTCTATAATGTGAATTTCAAATGCCCTGGAAAGGGTACAACACTGCCTTTCACAGCAGCCGGACTTCTCTGCGGCAAAGTACACTTGCTGTCCCAAAGTATTCGCCACAACGTATTTATTGGCGGTTTCAAAGCCGGTGAGGGCCTCGAGAAGCTCTACTTTTTGTTTGACGAGGAGTTGATCCACTTGGGTCAAATATTCCAAACCTTTCGGACAACTCGAATCCGCCTGAGGCAAAGGCATCCATTGTGCACCACCTTTTTCGGCCATAGTGCACACACTAGTTGCAATGTAAATTACAACAGAGATATTTCCGGATTTGATAGCTCTCGAAGCTGAATTCTGAAAAACAAACTTTCTCGTTCCTCTTCTCCCAAACTAACTAACGTTACTTCAAGGAAATCTTGGAAGGAGTTGAAAGTTGTCACATGCAGGAAGCAGACACTGCAAAATGGTATGGCGCAGGGAGTCGTCAAATACCGTATTTGACGACTCCCTGGTATGGCGGTACCGTGCACGACTGTACGGCAGTGCAGTTGCTGAGTGCACGCCCATCTCATGATCTGATCTGATCTGGAGACTGCCATGCCGCGTGCCGAATCGCGGGTAGATCTATACCGGGTGGCGGATCGCAGGGAGTTTGTACCCCCAGTACAAAACCCCGGGTGTTTAGTACTCGTAGTCGTACTCCCTGGTTTCTACCGGTCCTCGACGCGACCTGACCTGTAGCTGTACCTGTGTGTGCTACACTTTTTTTGGATCTACTGATCAGCTGAGTGCCTGGCGCAGCAGGCACGCGCATATACGCGGCATGGCGTGGTAAAAGTGCGGGAAATAAACCCACGTTTCGAAAACATAATGATTTTTGAAGTGCTGCTATTTCTGAATATGCAATGTAGCAGGGAGTGGTATTTTACGACTCCCTGATGTGTAGTGATATCACCTGAAATTGTTCATCCTCCTTGTCAGGTTTTCATTGGCATCTGCACTAGCCAGCTTGTTTCTTTCATCACAGTGTATGGTTGGTGGATATTCTTGACATTCATTGTACCTGATGTGGTGGATATGTAACAACAAGCACTAACATTGGTATCACGATGAGCTGGTGCTGCTGATGAGCTAGTTGACAATGGCTGACGGGACATTGGGGTATTCAGAGAGCAGCCAAGGAACTCAGTGGAAAGTGTTCTCAGACCTGCTAATATCCTTTCCCCAAACGATTCCTGTCTGTGGACAGTTTAATTAAATTTATTAACAAAAAAACCTGGTCATTTTCAATACATATACCCTGTGGTAGTACGCTGTTGCTAAATTGTTACGTATCAACTCCATTGTAGCACTTCTTCACAGATCATTGATATACAAGTACAGCATAACGTCTCTTATAGAGGCACATCCGGACTGAAGGGTGCTGCACACCCTCAGAATCGTCCGGAGCTCACGAATACATGCACCGTGCACCCATGTTGGATGCGATGCACCATTCTCTTCTGTTCGGGTCACTGAAACAAGATCAATACCATCCACAACTATGCACTAGTCTATACGCACTGAGGGTTATGATATTGTCTGCGGTGATATAGTTCTGCTGGCTGCCATAAAAAGGAAGAAAGTTCTCAAGATTTGGCTGGATGTACGTGCCTGCAAGATGCCCGGTTGAATGAGGTGTCCGATCTCTAGATGTGGACGGGCACTGTGCATACATGTAGTTGATAACCTGCAAAAAGTGAAAGTCGGCCTGGTGAATATAGCCACGGCAAGGTTGTGCGACTGGCAATGCAAACCTAGGTATACGGTGACTTTGGACTTGCTGTTGGTCATGTTTCATGAGGGGATTTTTCACTCCATTAAAAATAGCGATCCCCTGCATAAATGTGTGTATGTTCGTTCGGAGGGGGGAGGGAGTGGGTCTGGAGAGGAATGAACAAGTATCGTCTCTTGAAAGAAGATTTTTTTACGGATGGCCCTATTAAACCTCGATTTGATCCTATCCAATCCTTAACTCAATCCCTTGCTGCACGACTCTCTCTCTGCTTCTTCATCCACATGGACTGACAAGACAGGTAAATGCTATGCACATATGCTAGCTCACTGTCGCACCTGCACCTATGCATTTGATTGTCTCTTCCCTGTTGCATGGAGACAAACTGAGAAGTTTCTGGCAGTGAACAAGTGCAAGTGTATGCACTATGCATGCATGCTCGCACGTGTATGCATGCTTGTATGTGTGTGTGTGTGTGTGTGTGTGTTTGTGTGTGTGTGCGTGTGTGTGTGTGTGTGTTTTCGAGTTTGCCACTGGACACAGGACATGTCTGTGCGGTGTAGACACTGGACACAGTACATGTCTGTGCAGTGTAGACCAGGAAATGCTGTAGTGGTGCTCTACAGCAGGCTTGCCCCTGCCAAGAGCTGTCTGTTGAGTGCACACAGCACGAGTTGGATTCTTCACGCTGAGTAGTATGAATGCGGATCATGTTTGCCAGCTCAACACCTTTCGCCATCAGTACATTCCGCACCACCCTCGGCATCTCTTGTCGTGAGCGATGGGAGGAAAGGTTGTCGTTGGACTCGCTGAGTGAGCTGGCAGGGGTGGACGTTAACATCAAGCACCGCGTGCGGTGGCTTGCTCATGTTGCCCGGGCGGAGGCGACCCAGCTGCCAAAGCAGATGCTGTTTGGCGAGCTGCCCTGCAAATACCCGCAGCACGATCCCAAGAAGCCCTTACGGGATGTTGTGTCCTTGGATCTTACCATCATCGGTCTACCTGAAACGGACTGGTACGCTACAGCACAGGAGAGATCCACCTGGTTCCAGTACTGTCGGCAGAGGGTTGAGAAGTAAGCCGCAAACATCCTGTCTCCCAACTACCGCTGTGATCGAGTGGTCCGTGCGTCTTCCTCGCAACCTCAAGCAGCATGCGCCATATTGCAGGTGGCAAGTCTAGCGCCTCGGCGTGAGGAAGTCATCGCTATCATTGCCATGGCAATGGGCGTTCCAGGTTCCAGATTCCAGATTCTGGTGTCCGTTGTCCGTCATCAAGTTCTTGGCTGCACGGCACTCAAACAATCCCCACTGCCTAGCTGCATTCCGTTGATAGTCTGATGTTGCTTGTTGTACTATGCAGTGTAATCGTGTACATCTGACCTCAGATATATCTCCTTGTGGCTGGATTGTTTCTCTATGTCTCCTCACAGAAAGTCTCCAGCGCTTTTCACAGACAGTGCTGTGCTCTGCAGAGCAAGGTCTATGCTGTAGCGATCAGCAGACTCTCCGTTCACAGGTAAATACACGGACTACAGAAGTGCACTGTAGTGAATTTACCATCAGTTGATCTCCCCGTAACGCGTACAGAAAACCGGTCAAAGTGCCCAAATACATACCCTGATCATTATATTGATTTTCTCATTCTGGACAACCTTAGCATTGCAAAAAAAGGTATCAAACTAGTGAATTTTTGCAATTTTTCGGAAAGGTATTTCACATATTTACAACTTCTATGAAAACCACTATGCCGTTATTCAAATCCTATTATAGGAGTCTCACGCGAGCCGTGTTTTTTCATAGGATTATTTTGATAGAGATTTCTGCATGAAAAGTCTAGCCTAAACTGCGACCCATTCTTCAGCACCGGACAGTACTGTAGCTCTGTATACTTCATGTGCATTCATTACTACTCAATGCTTACATATGCAT